GGAAGCTGGACAAGGTAACAAAAAGATCTCTCCAGAGAGACCCCCTGCTGATGCCTTGATTTCAGCCCAGTGATACCTATTTTGGAATTCTGGGCTCCAGACCTATAAGGGAATAAATTTGTTCTAAGGCACTCCGCAGTCATTTGTTATAGCAGCAACAGACATTTAATGCACACAGCTTGTCCACTCCCTTGCTGTGGACATATGGGATTTTTCTTTTTTTGTTGCTGTTTATTTTTTTAAAGATTTATTTATTTACTTATGATAGACATAGAGAGAGGCAGAGACACAGGAGGAGGGAGAAGCAGGCTCCATGCCGGGAGCCTGACGTGGGACTCGATCCCGGGACTCCAGGATCGCACCCTGGGCCAAAGGCAGGCGTTAAACCGCTGAGCCACCCAGGGATCCCCTTGTTGCTGTTTTTTAGGGATTTTATTTATTTTAGAGAGAGAGAGAGTGACTGAGCAAACAAGATGAGCACAGGGAGGGGCGGGGGGTGGGGGAGAAAGAGAATTTTAGGCAGACTCTGCAAGGAGCACAGAGCCTGATGTGGGCTCAACCTCAAAGCCCTGAGAACAAGACCTGAGCCTAAATCAAGAATCAGACACTTAACCAACTGAGCCACCCAGGTGCCCCCAGCATGTGGGCTGTTTCTAGTTCTTGCCCTATTATGAATAACTTTGCTGTGAAGAATTCTGGGCTTTGTGTGTGTGTGTCTGTGTGGTCTCCAATACAGCCACTCTTTCTTCCAGTGTTGGAACAGATTTCTCATTTGCTGTTGTATAGGTTTTTGGATAGAGATTTCATCTTTAAACAGCAGTTTTAGGTTCACAGCAAAATCAAGAAGGTACAGGGAATTCCCAAATATCCACTCCTCCCACCTCCCTCCTCCACCATCAACATATATTTGTTACAATCAGTGAACCTACAGCAGCACATAATTATCACCCAAAGTCCATAGTTTCCATGAGGGTCCACACTTAGTGCTGTTCCTTCCATAGGTTTGGACAAATGTATAACGACAGGTTTCCATCATTAGGGGTATCATGCAGAGTCATTTCACTGCCCTAAATATCCTCTGCGTTCCACCTACTTACCTTGCCTCCCCCCAAACCCTGGCAATCCAATCTTTTGGATTTGGGCCATTCTAATAGGTGTATATAGTAGTATAGTTTTGAGCTGCAATTCCCTAATGACATCTGATGTTGAACATCTTTTCATATGTTTATTTGCCATCTGTATATATTATTTGATGATGTGTCTTTAGCCCTGTTCAGGTCTTTGGCCCACTTTTAAGTTAGATTGTTCACTTTTTTTTAAGATTTTATTTATTTATTCATGACAGACACACAGACAGGCAGAGACACAGGCAGAGGGAGAAGCAGGCTCCCTGCAGGGAGCCCGAGGTGGGACTTGATCCCAGGACCCTGGAGTCACACCCTGAGCTGAAGACAGATGCTCAACCGCTGAGCCACCCAGGCATCCTTTATGGTTAAAATTTAAGAGTTCTTTGTATATTTTGGATAATGGTTCTTTATCAGATACGTGTTTCACAAATATTTTCTTCCAGCCTGTGACTTGTCTTCTCATTCTCTTACCTTTCATAAAGCAGAATCATTAATGTTCGTGGAGTCTAGCTTACCAATTCTTTCTTCATGGATTGTCACTTTGGGAATGCATCTAAAATTCACCAGACCCAAGGGCATCCTACGTTATCTTCCAGGAGTTTTATGGTTTTGCATTTTGCACTTCGGTCTATGATCCCTTTTGAGTTAGTTTTTTATGAAAGGTGTAAAGTCTGTGTCTAAATTCATTTTTTTGCATGTGGAAGTCCAGTTCTCCCAGCACCATTTGTTGAAAAGTCTCTCTTTGCTCTATTGCATAGACTTTGCTCCTCTGTCAGAGACCAGTTGACTGTACTTGTGTGAGTCTGTTCCTGAGCTCTCTATTCTGTTCCACTGATTTATTTGCCAGTAACACATCACTTGATTACTGTAGCTTCATCATAAGTCTTGAAGTTGGATAGTATAAATCCTCCAACTTTGTTGTTCTTTAACAACATGTTGGCTCTTCTGGGTCTTTAGCCTCTCTGTATAAACTTTAGAATCAGTTCGTTGGTATCCACAAGATAACTTTCTGGGAGGCTGATTGGGATTGCATTAAATCTATAGATCAAGTTGGGAGGAACTGATATCCTGACAATATTGAATCTTCTCACCTATATACATGAACTAGCTCTAACTCTTTGGCCCATCATCAGAATTTTATATTTTTTCTCATATAAATCTTGTACATATATTGTTAGTTTTATTTTTTAGAGGGAGAGAGAGTGTGCATGAAGTGGGGGGAGGGGCAGGAGGAGAGGGAGAGAGAATCTTAAGCAGGCTCCATGCTCAATGTGGAGCCCAACTCGGGGCTTGATCTCATGACACTGAGATCATGACCTCAGCTGAAATCAAGACTTGGACGCTCAACCAGCTGAGCCACCCAGGTGCCCATTGTTAGTTTTATATGTAAGTATTTCTTTTTTGAGGGTTCTAATGAAAATAGTATTGTGTTTTCAATTCTAAATTCCACTTGTTCATTGCTGGCACATAGGAAATGAAGTTTTGTACTGTAACCCTGTATTCTGTAACCTTGCTATAATGGTTTACTAATCCAGGAGGGTTTTGTTGATTCTCTGAGATTTTCTGTAAGATGATCATGTTGTCTGCCCCATCTGTATACAGGTATTCCTGCTTTTCTAAATTCCCTATTAGGCCACTTTCCTTTTATGAAAGATCTACATTGGTATGTTTTCACTAACTGAAAGAAAACTGAAGAGGATTTTCACGTTTATGAAAAAAGGCAAAAGGTGAAAATAGTGTTCAGTGTCTGCTGTGCAGTAAGCCATTATGGAGGCCGCACTTACCTGCCTCCAGCAACAAGACTGGCACCGCCAAGCTCCTGCCCCAAGAACTACACCCAGCATCTCAGTACCAAGGCTCTAGAGCTCTGAACTGTGTCTTTGCACATCAATGCTCTGTCTCTTCTTTATGCATGTTAGCAAGAGGAGTCCAAAGGTTTCAGAAAAGCCTAAGAGAGGTTATTTTTTGAGTCTGGGAACGCTGAGAAAATTTTCCTTATCAATTTATGCTACTTGCTCCTTTGCTTTACACCATTTTGGTTTACAAAAGTTTTTATAGGAATGTTCTACTTTGATATTGGAGGAAACCTGTACTTTTATTTCCTTCTCTTGTCTTATTGGCTTAGTGAGGACTCCCAGTAAGATGCTGAAAAGGAGAGGTGAGAGAAGACATCCTTGCTTTGTTCCTGATCTTAGTGGGAAAGCTTTAAGCATGATGTTAGTGGTAGGGTTTTTGTAGATAGCTTTTACCAAGTTCAGGAAGTTCTCTATTCCTAGTGAACGGAGAGCTTTTATTATGAATCGGTGTTAGATTTTATCAAATGCTTTTTCCTGTATCTATTGATATAGTGATGTGCTTTAATTGGTTTTCAAACTCTGAAACAGCCTAGCATATCTGGGAAAAATCCCACCTGAACACAGTGTACAATTCTTTTATACATTGTTTGATTCAATTTGCTAATATTTTGTTGAAGATTTTTTACATGTATGTTCATGAGAAATACTGGCCTGTAGTTTACTTTTCTTGTAATGTCTTTCCTTGGTTTTGGAATTAGGTTAGTGTTGGTCTTACAGAATGAGTTAGAAAGTATCCCCTCTCTATCTTCTGGAAGACACTGTTAGAGATTGGTAAAATTTCTTCCTTAAATATTTAGTAGAATTTGCTACTAACCCCATCTGGGTCGGGTGCTTTCTCTTTTGAAAGTTATTAATTATTGAATCAATTTCCTTAATAGATACAGGCCTATTCAGATTACTTGCTGCATATATTTTTAAAAGTATATGTGTATCTCTTGCTGAGATAGGGTGGTTGAGTTCACGGAAGTTAATGCATACAGGCCATGACTCTCCTGGAAATAAAGTGTTGGTGCTCAAGGGTGGCTCAGCTGGCTAAAGACCAGCGACTGGAGTGCATCTCCAGGATTCTGCTAATGCAAGTGTGTACGTGTGTGTCCTCTGGCCAGGTTTCTGGAATCTGGGAGGCTGCCTGCATTTCCCCAGCTCATCTCCCTTTCTCTGTCTCTGCTACTCTCAGCTTTCTAGGAGACACAATCTTGCCTGAGAGCTAGTGGTTTCATATCACCCAAAAGAGACTCTGGGCAGGAGATTCTCCATGGCAGGACACAGGCCAACAAGACTCAAGAATATGACTCCCTACGGGGCCTCAAAGCCCTGGGATGGCTTCCACCTTACATCTTTGCACTTGCTTTCTCTCTGCCTGGAACCCTCTTCCACCAGATATATGTGGCTTCCAATTGCTCAGGAAGTTCCTGGTTCAAATGATGCTTTCCCCTAGAAGCCTGCCCTGACCCTCCACTATGGCCTTCTCCTATCACTGTCTCTCTTCTTCTGGCACATGTCAGTACCTACAAGTCACCCCTGTCTGCCTCCATCAAAAATCAGCTGCACGAGGCAGGGCCTTGCTTGTCCTTAGAGAGCCTAGCCCTGGGCTTGCCCCAGAATAGGGACTCACTCTTTGGGTGTGAAGGGATGATTCCTTGCTCCTGATGAGCCTCACCTATTGCCCCAGTCTGACACGGCCCAGCAGAATGCACCTGGGTGGGAGCCCCTTGATACCTCCCAGGTTGCAGGGTGCTCTGGGGTGGGGAGAGGACTAGCCCCATGTGGCTCCACCTACCTGACCTCTTCCCACCTCCTCCCCAGCTCTCCTGCCCAAAATGACATGCCTTCTCCTCAGAGTCAGGCTTCCAGTGGAGCTTTCCAGAAAGCTGAAGCTAGAGCAGGGGCAGAACTTTGGATGGGAGGATGGGTGGCTGCATAGCTCAGTTCCCAGTGGCTACGGGGGTCCCAGGATGACAGCCAGTGATGGAACCCTCTCCTCCCCGCACCCAGCCAGCCCTGGCAGGAGACCTACATGCGGATCTGGGTGTTTTTCAGGGTTAAGCTCAGATCATCCAGGGCCTCCTCCATCTCCTGTGTGTTCTGGATGAGGGAGAGGTTCTGCTCCTCTAGCTTCATGAAGACGTCCAGGAGCTGCTGGGGCTCTGTGAAGTACAGCTCCAGCTCCTGCAACCAGAGCCATGTGTGCAGGCCGGCTGGGCAATGCGGGGGGACGAGCTTCTGCAGCCTCACCCAGAGTGGGGCCACTGACCTCCCCTTCACTGTCTGGATCCTCGTGCACTGTGGAGATGGAGTTTGACCTGCAGAGAGATGTGGGGTCAGGGCACTGCTACCCTGCCTGGGAAGGCAGGGGAGCCAGAGGTCTGCTGGTTGTCTTACCCCATCCCCGGTGCTGAAGCCTCCTGGCATCACCAGGGTACCTTCCTGCCCCTTGTGCCCTCCTCCTCTCCGTCCCAGCAGCTGAGCAGGCAAGGGCACCAGTTCCCCTCTCCGCCCCATAGCTGTCGTACAGCAGTCAGGGGACAGTTTCAAAATTCGATTAGTTGATGGCATTTCAGCTAGATTAAAACTCAGCCTCCCTGGGAGCCTGTAGGGCCCCTCCTGTGCCCTCACCTCCCTCTGCTACCCTCGAAGTTACTCTGCTCCTGCCCTACCAGCTCTCTGGAGGTTTCTCCGGGGGCTGACCCTACCACAGGACCTTTGCATCCACAGCTGCCACTGCTAGAGTTGCTGGCTCCATTGTCATTCTATTTCTACCATTTCTTTCCTGCCCACCTCCCCTATCTAGGTTTGCCCTTGGCACTTGTCCTTGACAGACTACTCAGAGCTCTCCTTTGATACCTCGACTGATCCTGAGCACCCTACATGGGCGGGGACCATCCTGCACTGGCCTCAGGGTTGCACTCAGTATGGGGTCCTGGAAGCCCCCGCTGGATGGGACCTGGCTGCCACTGACTTCCAAACCTGCTTCCATCGCCCCTCCTGGCCTCCTTCAGCCCAGGCCCTGGCCCTGGATGTGCAGCTTCTGTTAGCTGAGAAGCAGGTGGGGCAGGCTCATAGCCAGAGGCATTTGGGCTCTGCCCCAGGAACCTGGCTGAGAACTGCCTGACTCTAGCCCTGACCTGACAGAGGTGCTAAGTGCAGGGCTCTGTGGGAGCCCAGAGGGGGAGCCCTGGAGGATTTCCCAGAGGAAGGGTCACAGTAACAACCAAAGGACTCACCAGGCCAGTGCCTCATACTGAACACTTGATGTCCATTTGGCAAATGAGCACGCAGCTTAGAGAACTGGCCACCCACCCAAGGTCACCAGCAGGGTACTGCTGGCCTAATTGGCACCTGAGAATCTGCCCTCTGGATGAACGTAGTCTGGGGGGCAGGCTGGACTTTAGCTCCCACTTGTCCTCTCAACTGAATGCCTTGTGCAGCCCACCACCTGCTCAACTGTACTCAGTAGCCCTGGTCGCATGGCTAACAGATGGAGAGACCTGGATAGTGTGATCCATAGACCTCTCTTCCAAGGGACAGGCCCAACATGGGGCTTTGATGGCGGGAGCTCCAGGCTGAGGGCAATCCAGGCAGAGGAAGCATGCATAGCTACCCTCTTGGAGCCTCTGTTCAACACTGAAGTGGAAGAAACAGTTCCCACTGGCCAGGCTTTCAGGGATCAAGGTTAACTGAAGGCATGTGCCCGGTCCCCCAGGGGTGGCTGGTCTCCAAAAGGCACCACATGATGCACAAGGATGAAAGTGAGCCTGGAAACTGGTAGCACTCAGGTCCCCTCCCAGCCCAAGATACATCAGTTCGGGACACAGAAGGTGGAGTGAGAACATCAAGGGGGGGGGGCGGTGCACTTACAGAGGCGTGGAGCTCAGGAGCAGGTGGGTGACAGACCATGGGACAGGCCATTGGAGAGAAGGAAGGGCAGGGGATGGTGCAAGTAAGGGGTGAGCAGAAGATACAGACCCGCGAACGAGGGTGGCGGGGAGGCTCCTGAGCGCCTGGACCAACTGTTCTCTCCAGCCCAGGTACTGCAACCCTTATCTAACCCGACAGACTAGAAAGCTTCCAGAAGAGAGCACAGGAGACTATTTCAGTGACTTTGGGATTGGAAAAGATTTCTTAAAGAGGGCACAAAATGCACCAACCATCAAAGCAAAGATTGGCTAATTGGATTCAAAATGATCACAATGAGAGAGTAATAAGACAAGTCACAGGCTGGGCAAAGATATTCATACTATACTCTGACATGGAGAGGTGGCATCCAGATAGATAAAGAACTAATAGACAACCAGAAGAAAAAGACCAATAGTCCAATAAAAATGTACAAAAATTGGGGCAGCCCAGGTGGCTCAGTGGTCTAGCACCGCCTTCGGCCCAGGGCATGATCCTAGAGACCCGGGATCGAGTCCCATGTCAGGCTCCCTGAATGGAGCCTGCTTCTCCCTCTGCCTATGTCTCTGCCTTTCTCTCTCTCTCTCTGTATATCTCATGAATAAATAAATAAAGTCTTAAAAAAAAGAAACCCTGGGCATCCCTGGGTGGTGCAGCGGTTTGGCGCCTGCCTTTGGCCCAGGGCGCGATCCTGGAGACCCGGGATCGAATCCCACGTTGGGCTCCCGGTGCATGGAGCCTGCTTCTCCCTCTGCCTGTGTCTCTGCCTCTCTCTCTCTCTCTATCATAAATAAATAAAAATTTAAAAAAAGAAACCCTGAATGAAATATCTATATATTTTTAAATGTACAAAAATTGAACACTTTACAAAGGAGGATCTGAGTGACCATCATATTTGTCATCATGAAAATGTCATGAAGACCATAATGAGATACCACTCTACCCAGTATTAATCCTGTCTTCTCTTTTCCATATTCTGTTATGAATATTCCATTTTCACCCACCGGGCTAAGCTGACCCTGGACTGGATAGACCGTCCCTGCCAGGGTTGGCCAATTCCAGACAAAGTAAAGGACACACCCTCCAAGTGCAGACCCACCAGTCCAGAGCTCAGATCCCAAGCTCTCACAGCCAGAGCCACTAGACCCCTGCCCTGTTTGCCAGATACCTGAGGACACCCGTCGGTCCCAGAGTCCCAAAATCCTTCAAGCCCGCCAATCCTAAATCCACGTCCTCCACCTCACTCATTCTTTCCTGCAGAAACCGCAGGGGGGGGGGCTTCTGTCCCCTGTTCCCCAGCTCCCTGTGCCCCCAGACCCAGCCTCTTGCCTCCCCAATGCCCCCCTCCTCATGGGAACTGAGTGAAGGCCATCTCTTCAATGACATCATCTCCTGATGTGTTGGTCTCACTGAACGTCACATTTTCTACCAAGACACTCGATTTGCAAACGCCGCCAGAACACAGAGACTGAGGGGACCTACGACAGCCCAACCCCAGGGTCTGAGCTTGCCAGGCGAGACGTGGGGCTACTGGAGCTCTCTTGCCTGCTGGCCTGGGCACAACCGCTGCTCACCTCCACCCAGCAATCCCACTCTCATTTCCAACACACAGGGGGCTCGTGCTCACACATAAAAGTCCAGGAAGCATGCCGCAGCTTTAACCAGAATACGCAGCTATGGGGAACAGCTCCAAAGGCCCCACTCACCACGTGGAGACAGGACCCAGACTGGGGCCTCTTGGGAGCCGGCGTGTGAAAGCAGCACCAGCCAGCTTTTGCGCACAACCGCGCAGACGGGCAGCGGGAGAAGCCGGCCAAGAGCATGCTGGGGCCCTTCTCACGGCACCGAGCGTCAGCACAGGGAAGAGCCCCAGGGCAACAGATCCAAATAGCGCCAACTTCCTGGGTGAGGTCTGACCAAGGAGGGCCTGAGGGAGTTCTGGGCACCCGGAATGTTCTATGGCCGGGTCTGGGTGTGATTACACAGGTGCCTACATGTGTGAAAATTCAAGGATTCCCTTAAGATTTGTTCATTTTGTTATCTGGCAATAGCATCAATATAAGAGGGAAAAAATAAAGGAAGACTGACCATGTCAGACACTTCCCAGCCTCTGGAGGCTCTGACCTGAGGTGCCAGCTCCCCCTGGGTGCTGGTACCCGGGTTTTCTCACCACCCTCCAGGTGGCACTGGGGCTTGGGGTGGCTGGCTGGGGAAGAGGCAGGAGGAAGTCTGTCTTGTGGTCACTTGCTGCAGCTGGAGAACACTGGTGGCTGTGTGTGGGGTGTTGGGGACTGGCAGGGAGATATCTGGGAGGTGTTTAAGAGGCATCTGGTGTTCCCACAGTGGGTGCTGTAGGGGTTAAGAGGCGAGAGTCACTGGAGTTGGGACCTGTCCAGGAGGAGGCCTGGCCTTCAGCTGGAGCATCCAGGATCACTGACAGCTGTTAGACCTTGAAACGACTCTGCAAGACCAGCAGACCCACCCTTGCCCCAGTGCCCCCTGGGACAGTGGATTTTGTTCACTTGGCTAGGTCCAACATTATCCTACAAGTTTCGGTGAAGATACTTATCAGATGAGATGAGCAAATCAGTGGACTTTGAATAAAGCAGATGACCCTTCATGGTGGTCCTTATCCAATCAGTTGAAGGCCCCAAGAGAAAAAGATGGACCTCCCACAAAGAACAGGGAATTGTCCCAGCTCACTGCCTTCAGACTCACGTTGCAGCAACTATTCCTCCCTGGGTCTCCAGTCTGCCAGCCACCTGCCTTGGCTCTCCAGTTTTGCCACTCTGGCCCAAGGGGGCTCCAGATTGCATGGGACAGGTAAGCACCCTGGCAGTGGCCCTGGCACTATGAAGGTAAGCGCCTCACAGCCATGCGAGCCCCCCCACCCCACAGTCACACATCACGAATAAGGCCCCAACTGTACGGGAGACCAGGGGCTAGATGGCCGGGGGAGGCTGCAGTCAGCCTCCACACGCGCCCCCACCTATGCTGTGCACAGACAACGAGCTGCACAGGGCCAGCTCCCTAGTGAAAGGGAGGATGGGGTAAGAAAAGCACCTTTGCTCGTACTTAGGTTGAATGGGCGGAAATGCCAGCGTTCTATTGAGCTGCCCAACAGCACAGCAACGTCATACGGTTCAAGGAACCGTTAACATAAAAATGGCTGCCAAGGGGCACCCAGGCCTTGTCACTTCCTCTCCGGTCACGATCTCAGGCTTAGCAGGGAATCTGCTTAGGACTCTCTCCCTCTCCCTCTGCCCCTGTGCCTACTCGCGTGTGCTCACTCTCTCTCTCTATCAAATAAATAAATCTTAAAAAAGGGGGGGGGGCTGGAAGGATATGCAGTAGATAACAATTCCCACTGCAGTGCCACCTGTGGCTTCCTGGCCCAACAGTCTGGGTGGAAGGGGGCTGGAAGGAGGTGCACGGGTGCTGGGGGGCGGAGGCACAGGGTGAGCCTTCTCAGCTTGTATCTTTCTATATAGCTGTGATTTTTCTGAATGTATTACTTAGAAAACCCCTAAAACTAAACACATTTTCAGTGAGGGAGGAGGAGTAACTGGGGGTGACCCAGCAGCAGGGGGAGGTGGAGGGTTTGGCTCTGGCCTTGTAGGCAAGAGCAGTTTTATATGGGGACAGGTTTTCATTGGCTCACGGATCCGTTTGGGGTTTCTATTTGTCCCTCTCATGTTTTTAAAAAAGATTTGAAAGTCAGTCACATTAAATCTGGGTAATTTTTTTTAAAAAAATCCAGATTCTGGGGATGCCTGGGTGGCTCAGTGATTGAGCGTCTGCCTTTGGCTCAGGGCATGACCCTGTGATCCTGGGATCGAGTCCCGCATCAGGCTCCCCACAGGGAACCTGCTTCTCCCTCTGCCTGTGTCTTTGCCTCTCTCTCTGTCTCTCATGAATAAATAAATAAAATCTTAAAAAAAAAAACATTAAAAATCCAGACTCTGGCTTCTCTTGAAAAGCTCTGGAGCTCTGGCCTCATTGGCCAGCACTCCTTGGGCACCAAGGGCTGGCAGAGCCTGTGCCCTTCCGCTCAGTGCACCCAACTTGGCTGCCCACACCTATATATATACTTGACTGTCCCATTAGCATCCAAGTGGGTCACCCTAGGCATAAGTTTATCAAATTGGACAGAAATAAAACTGTTCAGAAAACATATTGATTTGGTGCTTAAGTCAGACTAGACACTCTGCATGTTGGGAACAGCCCCTCCTCATGGTCTCACTCTTCCCGGATAGGCTGGACTCGTCCTGGGCACCCCTGGCCTGGAGCCCCTAGGGAGCACCCCCCCCCCCCCCCGCCAGGGCTCAGCCACTTTCTTACCCTACACTAGGCCCACTCACCCTTTAGGGTCCAGCCCGCTACTCACGCTGGGCTGGCGGCTATGCTGGAGGCTCATGGCACTGGACAGGATCCGCCCCAGCCGGGCCACCTGCAGGAACTTCCAGGGCTTCTTTGGGCCCTGCCCATCTGGAGGAAGCAGAGGAATGGTTTCCATGCACCCCAGCCCAGGGCGGGACACCTCCAGCTTGGGGCAGCCACGTACCTCTGGAGCTTGTTTTGCTCTTGATCCCTGGTCCTACAGGAAGCAGAGGAGGATTCCAGATGGCTCCCACCGGAGTCAGGCCTTCAGCAACACTGCCTGAGGGCAGAGGCTTCCCCAAGATGCCCCAACCCTCTTTCCCTGAGCTTCAGAAAGCAAGCATGGGAGGGAAGCCCCTTGGTCTGAGTTAGCACAGGCCCTATCTTCCTTGAGTGAATGTGTGGGGTGAGCCACGAGGCCGTAAGGGGCAGCTGCTGCCTCTGGTGGGGCTTTGAGAGGTCCCCAAGGGGCCCTGGCCTGGAGCCTGGGCACCTCCAAGGCCACCGCCAGTGGGTCACGGGGTCTAGATGGACCCAGGGACCCACTCTCTCTTTTCCGCTACCTTTGTCTCCAATTGAGGAAAATAAGAGGTTCTCTTTGGGGGGCTCGGTGGCCTCCTTGGCCTTTTTGAGAGCCAGGTGCTTTTTCTCCTTTTCTTCCAACCACTCTTTGGGCGACAGCTTGTATAGGAAGTCCTTGTAGATCTTGTAATGCTGCAAAGTGTCTTCAAATTTGGAGATTTCACTAGACCCGGGGAGGGGATGGTGAGGTCAGCTTCTGCCTGCTGGGACCCCCTCCACAGGGGACCACCTCTGAAGCCTGGTCAAGCCTGGCAGCAGCACTGTTGTGCCAGGGAGAGGACACCACCCTGCCGAGGACCAGTGGGGTCCAGATGTCCAGTTACAGCCCTCTGTGACCTTGGAGTGGCGGCTGACCCTGGGGACCCTGCCAAGTGAGCCCTGCCTCCTGCTGGTGTGGCCCTGGGAAAGTCCTTGAATCTTTTCTTGACCTCTGTCATCTCATTTGTAAAATGGGCAGCTGAGTCCCTGAGCTATTTAGGTTTGAGAGGTGAGGCTGTGAGGTTTGTGCAGTGCAGGGGCCCTTTTTTGCCTACAGGAGAGGCGTGCAGGGAAATGGTGGCAGAGCCAGCTCCCCAGGCTCCCCTCTGAGCTCGCCTTTTGATGTTCGAGATCTGGGTGGTCAGGTCATGGATCTCAAGGATCTTCTCCATCTTTGCTTTGGTCTCCTTCTCAGCCCTGAGGGTAGGGTGGGTAGGGGCGGGGAGCCAATCGCAGACTGTTAAAGAGGCGTGCACACCGCCCTGGAGGGGGGTGGGGGCGAGGAGCTGCTTGGGGCCGGTCGGCAGGGTAAAGGGTGGGGCGGCCGCGAGGTGCAGGCAGGTGGGCGTAGGTGCACAGCCCCGGGGAGGGGGCACCGGGGGCCGGGGGTGCAGGGGGCGCCGGGGGTGCGGGCCGCCCCTCTGCACTGGCTCACGCTCTCAGGGCCTGCACGGAGCTGCGGTCGTTCTCCCGGAGAAATTCGTCGAACAGGGCAGCGTCCTTCTCCAGGGACTTCTCGGCCCGCTCCAGCTCCGCCTCCTCCTTGGTTGCCAGCATCTCCAGCCGCTGGATCTCGTTCCGCTTCATGTCCAGGGCGTACTGAGGGCCAGCAGCGTGGGAGTCGGACTCCTTGCTGGGACAGCCCCATCCCCTGCCCTGCAGCTGGGCTTACCTGGATGAGGAACATCTGTCGCTTCTGGTTGATGTAGTCGCTCATGTTCTCAGATTCCATCTTCTTTTCTGCAAAGAGGGGAAGGATGCCTCTAGGTGGGGGGCGGCGGGGGTAGTGCGAGGGAGACCTCAGCTGGGCTAGGATGCCGCTCCTGGCAGGTGCTCTGCTGAGGTGCCCAAGTCATCCCAGGGACTCTGTTTATGTGTTGCACTCTGCATGGTGGGAGACTGGGCCAGGTGGGAAGTCCTTTCCTATGCCTAACTCAAGCCTCTCTTGCTGTAGTACTCTTCTCACCTGGAGTGAGACTCTGGACACCCCTGCGCTGAACGTTTCACCCAGCTGGACCTAATTAGGCCAGGACCTGCATCAGGGTGGTGAGACAAACATGGGGCAGCATGATCTCTATTTGGGGTGCTCTAAGCCCCCAGGATCCAATTTAGTTAGTAGCTAAGTCTAGACACCAGGGTTTAAGCCAGGTGGGAGGAAATTAAGGCAGGCATCTGGAGAGCCAGCAGAGAGCCAACACATTTGGGGCTGAAGGCCAGGGGAGCCTTTCTCCCTCGTCTTTCTGGGGAAGAAGGCCTAGATGCACCCAGGCATTGGAGAGGCAGGGAGCCGAGGAAAGGGCTGAGGAAAGTGGCTCTCTGTGTTGTCTCTCAATCCCTCTCCTTTCCCAAAGACCCTGATGTGACATGGGAGTCTTAAGTCTAGAAGCCTGGCAGAGACCCAGCTTGGCTGCAGCCTCCCTGGGACACCTGTGGGCAGGCCCTTCCCTCAAGGAGACCCAGCTCCTCAGTGCAAATCAAATCTGGAACAAGGACATGTATTGTGCCTGAACCCCTTGGGTCCAGTCTTCCCCATCCAGACACTACCTGCCTCTCCCAGGTCTTAGGAGACAGAATGTAGCAATGTGCAGTGCTGTTCTCCCTCCTGCAGAGCTGGGCACACAAAGCTTAGGGGTTTGAGCTTAGGGGGGTGAGCTTAGGGCTCCCCACCCAAAAAAGCAAGTCATTGGGTCAGGGGTGGAGGCTGGGGGTCTCTTTAACATTCACATTCAGTACACAGGCAGTCCAGTTGGGTTCTGGGACTTTATCATCTGGGCTCGTAGAATATTCAGTACTTAAGATGTCCTCCTGGGTCATAAAATCAACAACAGCTCACACACACAACTTCCTTCTCACTATGTGCAGCATCTAAAGACGTTGAATCCCACAACCCACAGATTGGCACTGTCCTAGGCCAGGAGAGGAACCTGCTGTGCAGAGCTGGCCCAGGATGGCGGGGTCATTCGATGCTGAAGCTGCCATCTGAACTGCAGGGCCCAGTTCCAGACCGACACCACCACCAAGGGAAGCAGCTCTATCTTATTCGTGTGCAACCTGCATTCACGCGCACGGTAACACTCCGAATGCACCGTATTGGGATTCAAAGGCTTTCAGATCTGCAGTCTGTCTGGAATAGAGCTGTGTGCAGGCGGGGGCGGGGGGGGGGGTGTCATACACAGAAAGACCACCCCACCCCTCGTCCCCACCCCTCGTAGCCCTGCCTCTCCAAGCAATTTGTCAGCACTGCCCACGCACGGAAGGCAAGGCCCGCTGGCGGGGGCACCTTTGGTCATGGAGAGCTTCCACGCCGCGTCGTCCTGGAAGGCACGCAGCCGCTCCGCCTCGGCGCGCGCCTCCTTGTCCTGCATCTTGTCCTCCAGCTGCAGCTCGCGACGCAGGCTGGTGTGCTTGGCCGACACCTCGGAGGAGTAGGTCATCTTTTGGTGCACCCGCTGGACAATCTTCTGCTCGCGGTCCTGGTGGGCGTGGGCCGACGTCGGTTTCTACGCCCTCAGCCCGGGCCTGCGCCCTGCCTGCGCCCCTCGGGTCGGCGGCGGGGATGCGCACATGCGGGGGAGGGGGGAGGGGGGCGGAGGTGCGCAGCTGGTCGGGGTGCGGGGGCACCAGGCCATGCACACCCCCTGAGCTCGGACGAGGCTGTGAGCTGGGTGTCTAGGGGAGCGCCCCGCAGCAGAGCGCAGCTCCCGGGCTGAGGGAGAGGTGGGCAGAAAGCGCCTCCAGGGAGCGGGGTGAAGGCAGGGGTCGCCAGGTGAAGGACACGGTGCCCATTTGGAAGTGAGTGCAGTGACAAAGTCACTAGGATGATTCCTCCCATGCCTGAAATTCACATTTGGTGTCTCACGCTGTGATTTGCTGGACCTGACACTCCAGGGTCCAGGTTCTCTGAGTTTCCAAAAGAAAACCCGAAATCCGCAGTTTAATCTGCAAGCTCAGCCCTCAGTGTGCACCGGGTTAAGGGGGCGCGGGGGCGTGGGGGCGCGGGGGTTATGCCCCTCTCCAGCTCCTGTCCACCCTGCCTGCCTCCTGCCTGTCTCAGGGCTGCTTCCCTTCCCAGCCCTTCACTTGGAGGATCCTGGGATGGCGGGGGTGGGGGGGGGTGGGGGGGGGGTGGGGGGGGGTGGGGGTGGTGGTGGTGCTCCTTCCCCCAGGTCTTTGGCTGCAGGGTGCCCGGCCCCTCCTGCTGCCCAAGCCCTGGGAGTGCAGGGCTCACTGGCTCAGCATCCTAGCCTGCAGGGTCAGGCAGGCCTTCACAAGTCCTCTTCCCTTGCCCCACCCCACCCCCCAGGGCATTTCTATTCCCTGCGGGCCCTGCAAGGTGGAACAGCCCATTCAGCCCCTAAAGGTGGGTGTTCAGGGAAACCTCATCTGTGAAGGGATTCAGCCTGAGGCCACTAGCTTGCCCGTCCATGCAGAATAACAAAGTGGTGACATGTCACCTGTTAGAATCCCAATGGCAGACCTCTGCGCTTAGAAGAAACTGGGCAGCTGCTTGGGGTCCATGTGAGATTGGAGGCTTAGCTGGGGCAGGGGGAGGGGTGTCGAGACTGGAGGATTTACGAAGGTAGAGGCGACCTGGAAGCAGGGCCAGGCTGGGAGAAGAAAATCTGGTTGTGCACCGGAGAACGAGAAAGGTTTCTAAGTCAACGTCAGGGAAAGTTGTGCATGTGCCGGCCGTGTTCCCCACTTGGAGGCCTCTGAGAAGTGTGTGCTTCCGGGGATGGCTTTGCGTGAGTGCCCGAGTGGGCACACAGCGTGGCTGGAGGGCAGGGAGCACATTGTTGGTGGCCGCCCAGAGCTTCTATGAGGAGGTCTGGGGTGTGGCTGGAAAGCATGCATGTCCTTATGTGTCTTTGGTCATTGTTGGGGTGTCAGTGGGAGCCACCTCACCAAGGAATCTCAGATACTGAGCCCTGGGTCAGGGCAGACAGAGTCAGCCCTGGAGGGAGCCTGAAACACTGCCAAGCCGGTGCCCCGGAGAGCGTGTCCCGGAAACATGGCCCATGCTGACTGCTTCTCAGGGAAGATGCCCACCGGTGTGTCCTCCCAAGCCTGGCTGTGGTGATGCTTGCTTGCTCCAGCCATGCTATAGGCGGTGGGAATGGGCAAATGGCCCCTTGGATGGGGAGGCAAGAGAGACTATGCTGGAGTGCAGACAAGGCATGGGCTGGGGGTTGGGGCTGGCTGTGGGACTCCCAGGTACTGCTGAAGGGCACGCGTGTCTCCGTGCGTGTGTACGCATGTGTGCATGTTTGTGTATGTATTTGGCCTCCAAGAACTCCAACAAGGGGGATCATGCAAGGCTGGAGCAGTTGGGGGTGGTCTCCTGGGGGAGGTAGGAAGGTCCCTGAGGTCTGAGATGGGCCTTGAAGGACAGGGAAAGTCTCTGGAGCAGATGGCATCTCATGCAAGGGACAGCGAAAGCAAAGCCTGGTGACAGAGCTAGGCCACCGCAGCTTCAAACAGCTCACTCTAACAAGACCGAGGAACCCTGTAAGACAGTGCGACAGGCCAGAGACTGGAAAGCTAGTCAGGCTTTTGAATTGATTTTTTAAAAATGGTGAGCCATTGGGCACTTGGGTGGCTTAGTCGGTTAAGGGTTCTGCTCTTGATTTTAGCTCAGGTCATGATCTTGGGGTCATGCGGTCGAGCCCCCATCAGGCTCTGTGCTCAACTTGGGGTCTGCTTGAGATTCTTTCTCTCTCTCTCCCTCTGCCCTCAGCCCCTTGAACTCTAAATAAATAAAATGCTTAACAAAAAAATAGTGAGTTATTGACTATTCTAGAGTGAGAGAGTACCCTGAAGAAATACTCTTCTGAGAAGGGCAGTCTGGCTCCACATGTGTGAGGGAGGGGAGAGTTGTGGGCAGGCTTCAGTCCTAGGTACTCACTGTGCGAGACTTATTCCGCTCCTGATCTCTGAGCAAGAAGAAATCCACATCTCCAGATATGTGGAAAGGATTCGCTGAACGGTCAGGAACAATCATGGACACTGGGGAGGGAGATACGTCATTGGAGAGATGAGCCAGGTCTTCCAAGTGGTGGCCCGTGCCTCAGGAGCCCCAGTGCCCTCCCAGTCCAGCACGGGGAGCTTCCTTGAAGGCACGAGCAAGCGGTGCACATTCTCTTGGATCCAGCTGTGCCTGAAGTCCAACCTGGACCTTCCAGCTCCATGAACTCACCTGTCTGGTGTAACCTAGTTGGACTTGGGCTTCTGTCCCTGGCATCTGAAAGAGACCTGGTGAACACAGCCTCACCTATGTCTCGGGCATCTGGCCCCCTGTCCCCTCTCGTTTAAAGTCTCAGGAACCCCTGTTGCATAGAGGAGAGAAGCAGGATGGGGGGAGTGATGGAGCCAGCTGGCAGGAGGCTGGCCAACTCCGGGGCCGGGGCACCTGCCTGCAGAGGGCAGAGGGCAGAGGGCAGAGGGCAGTGAGCACTCGGGGCGAACAGGCCTTGTCTGCAGGGTTCCCTAAGAGCCTCCCAGGGGGAGGCTGAATTCGTGGGAAGTGATGGCACGGCACCTGAGGCCCAGGTGGGGGGCAGGGCAGGCATCTGGAAGATGGGGGGGTGGTGCCACGGACTCCAATTCTGCTGCTCCCCCTACCCCTGTGGGTAAGATGTACTATCTCAGCTCTGCAGGGACAGGACCCTGAAGCCACCAGACTAAGGGCTAAAATATGGATGCTTTCTCCCCCATCCTCGATTTAGAAGAAACAGAGTTCATTGTAAAACAAAACAAAACAAACCATTCTTGGCAGTAAAAGAGTATGATAACCAAATAACTTCTCCACTTTGAAACAACTGCTGGTAACATTCCGGGGGTATTTTCCGCTAGTGCTTTCCAACGCCTATTTTTAATAATTTCACATCTTTAAAAAAGACCATCATCAGTAAATGCCTGCAAAATTACGAATTCTTTGCAAGCCCTGTACGCAGTGATCAAAGGCTGTAGGAAGGCATGACCCAGTCGGGCCTGGACAGGGACACCCACAGCAGCCCCAGCACTGCCCCGGATACGCGGGTGCCATTGCCGGCTGGCTCCTGGCAATTGATTTCCCGAAGGGAGGCCAGAGGCCAGTGGCTGTGAGCATTTCCAAGCTTCAGAGTCCTATCCGGCCTGCATTTCTGGAGGTCTGCCCCGTTTGACACCATTACCCGTGAAAAGGGGAGCTGTGAAGAGGATTTGAAGTTACACTCTGAGAGTCTCAAAATACCTCTGCACGAGATCATCCTGATTGATGACCAAGAGTAGAGCAGCTGGCTTGCCCACTGCATTCTGCTCAGGCCATCAGAGGGAACCAGGGCGGAGGCCAGAGGGCTGGGCCTTCTCCCGCCAGTGCTCTCTGGCAGTGCCTGCCCTGCCCGTGATGCTTCTCCTGCCCCCGCTGTGTGGAGGGGTTGGGAAAGCTCCAAGTCTACAACTTCTGCGTGCTAGTCTTTCAGCTTCTCTCTAAGAATTAAATCCTGTCAAAATAGACACTTCTAGGGGTGCCTGGGTGGCTCCATAGGTTACGCATCTGCCTTTGGCTCAGGTCATGATTCCGGGGCCCCTGCTCAGCTGGGAGCCTGGTTCTCCCTCTCCCTCTGCCCCTACTTGTGCTCTCTCCCTCTCTCTCTTTCTGTGTCTCAAATTAATAAATAAATAAAATCTTTAAAACAATAAAATAATTTTAAAAAGTAGACATTTTTAGTATTTGGGTGAGAAGAATAAAGAAATATTATCTACTCCTGGGCTCAGCAGAGAGGAGGAAGCCAGCAGGGCCTCCAGTCAGCTCTCAGCCTGGCTTCTGGAGAGGGCAGCATGTGGGAGGAGGTGTCCGAGACAGAGAGAGGTCACAGGAGTGGTGCTGGCCCCAAGGGCCATCAGGGACCGCTGGGTAGGAGGGACAGAGATGGGACGGGGCTTGTGTGGCTTTGGTTTGCGGCGTGGACTCTCATCCTATGCCTAATTATGACTTTCTTTTACACCGACTTTGATTCTGACACAGAGGTTCCAGAAGATACTGCCAAAGGGCCTCTGTCTGCTCAGGAGGCTGGAGAGGCAGGTGAAGATGGTGCAATGGGCTCAAGGCTTGCCTTGCCAACTAGGCCAACCTCATCCCCGAGAAATGATGTAACATAAATTTAGAAACTGCACCCAGCTCTGGACAAGAGGGGGTGACTGGCAAGGCGGGAGCTGTTGGGGAGTGCTGGACGAGGGAGGGTGGCCCGGCCAGGCCGGGCTGCCCTGCCGGAGGAAGGTATGCAGGAAGTGACAGCTTTGGTCGCAGAAACGGGGGTGTGGGGGCCCCCACAGAACTGCCACAGTGAGCCGCCTCCTCATGTCCTCAGCCCACTTCCCTGCACCCTCTGTGCATGCCTGGCCACTCTGGGCAGGGGCATTGCCTGAAATTCAGAATAATGAGCACTGAGCTTGAGTGAGAGAGGCAGGGACGAGTCAGAGTCCTGATGGCCCCACATGGCCCGTAGATGATGGGCTGCCCGTCCCACGTCCCCATCGAAAAGATTAATTATGATCCTTAGCAAGCACTGAGCATCTATCGTGGCTGGACCAAGGACTTCACCTGACTTAATCTTCCTAACAACCTCGAGGTGGGAATTACTGTTACTCCTGGTGACGAGTAAGAGAGGCAGAAAGACATAAGTAAGCAGCCCACACTGTAGTAGCTACGTGGAGACTGGCTTCCGAAAACAAACTGCATTTGCAGTCTGGTGAGTAGGCAATGTTTCCGAACGGGAACATGTTAATGTGAAGGTGGCAGCAATCGAAGCAGATCATTCCAGAGATGCAAAGCTGGTTTAACATTTAGAAACCAATCAATGCAATATACCCCATTAACAGAATGGGGAGAAAATTTTTTTTTATTTTACTTAGTCATTCATGAGAGACACGGAGAGCGAGGCAGAGACACAGGCAGAGGGAGAAGCAGGCTCCCTGTGGGGAGCCCGACGTGGGACTGGATCCCAGGACCCTAAGATCACACCCTGAGCCAAAGGCAGACGCTCAACCACTGAGCCACTCAGGCGTCCCAGGATGAGGGAGAAAATAACATGATCTTTTCAAGGGATGTAGTGAAAGTATTTGATACAATTCAAACCTGATTTTAATAACTAGTCTTAGCAACCTAGGAAGAGAAGGAGACTCCCCAATATGATAGGGGGAAGTATGATGAGCTGAGTGATGTCCACACGCTAAGCCCCAAGCCCTAAAAGACTAGTTTCCTTTATATGGTAAAGGGGACTTGGTAGATGGGATGAAGTTAAGGACCTCGAGATGGGAGACGGTCCTGGACTAGACAGAGGGGCCTGATGGAATGATGGGAGTCCTTCTAAGACGGAGGCAGGAGGGCCTAGGTGTGCAAAAGAGTAGGCCTGACAACAGAAGCAGAGGTGGGAGTGACAGCATGGAAAACTGGAGCATGCTGTGTTCCTGGCTTTGGAGACAAGGAAGGGACCAGGAGTGGAGTGTGCGGTGCCTATGAGCTGGGAAAGGCAAAGGAGCATAGTCTCCCCTGGAGCTCCTGGAAGGAACACAGCTTGTGGACACCTTGCTGTGGATACCTTGCTTCTAGTGCTGTAAGATTCACATCAGACTTCTGACCTCCACAATCGTAGGATAACATATTTGTGTTGATTTAAGCCACTGAGCCTGTGGCACAGCAGCCACAGGAAAGGAATATAGGCATCTATATAGAGAAACCTCGAGGGGAAATATTGCATGGTCCCCCACCCCTCCTCCCAAGGTCAGGAACAAGGCATGGACACTTGGCTTTGTACTTCTATTTAACGTTGTATGTAGGCAAGAAAAAGAAATTAAAAGTATAGGATTGGAAAGGAAAGGCAAATAATGTCCTTTCAAGGTGACGTGACTGTAGATGAGAAAATCCAAAGAGTCTACAAACAAATTATGGTTACGATTAGACTACAAATGATTTGTAGGTCTGATTAGAAAGTGAACACAAATTTTTTTATACTTTTATTTATTCATGAGAGAGAGAGAGAGAGAGAGAGAGAGAGAGAGGCAGAGACCCAGGCAGAGGAAGAAGCAGGCTTCCTGCAGGGAGCCTGATGTGGGACTCGATCCCGGGATCCCAGAATCATACCCTGGGCTGAAGGCAGATGCTCAACCACTGAGCCACTCAGGCATCCCGAACACAAAACTTGTATGAGATACAGTATCTTCATGACTTGGGTCAGCAAGGAACTTTAAAACAGGACATAAAAAGTTCCAACCATAAGAAAATGATTGATAAAGTGAACTCCATTAAAATTAGGAATTCTTGTGTACTAAATGGCACCCCCAAGAAAGGAAAAAGCAATCTCCCAAGTGAGGGAAGCTATTTGCACACTTAGAACTGGTGAATGCTTTGTTTCCAGAATATGTAAAGAGCTTCTAGAAGTCATTAAAATAAAAGGACAACCCAATAGAATAGTGAGCAGAGGCAGGGACAGGCACTTTATAACAAAGTCACCAGTGAACTATATATGGAAGGGTAATCACCCTCATTGGTCACAGGGAATATGAGATGCTAATACATATCCAAAGGGCCAGGTTAGTAAAAGCATCAACAGTGTGCCAACTGCTGGGGAGGACATAAGGCATCTGGAACACTCATAGCTGTTGGTGGGCCTGTCAGCTGGTACAACTGTTCTGGAAAACTGCTCAGCGGTATCTACTAAGGGTAGACACACTACCGGCAATTCCACTCTTTCACATATACCCAGGAGAAAGGAGTGCTTCTTTCCCTAAATGGCATGCACAAGAATGTTCATTGGAGGATATTTGTAATATCGAAAAACCAGAAACAACCCAAATATTCAATTCCAGAAAGAATAATACACTGTCTACATATGCACACAATAGAACACACAAACAACAAAGAAGGGGCTCCTGTGCCTGGTATTTACAGATGCGATGTTGAGTGAAAGCAGCCAGGACCCCAAGAGCACAGAATGTGACCCTATTTATACAAGAGGTTTGAGAACAAAAAAAAATCATGAAGTGATTTTTTGGTGGGACGCCTGGGTGGCTCAGTCGGTGAAGCGTCTGCCTTCAGCTCAGGTCATGATCCCGGGGTCCTGGGATCGAGCCCCATGGTGAGCTCCCTTCTCAGAGGGGAGTCTGCTTCTCCTTCTGCCCCTCCCCCCTGCTCGTGCTCTCTCTCTCTCATTCATTCTCTCTCAAATAAACAAATAAAATCTTTAAAAAAAAATTTGAAGTGATTTTTTGGTGATAGCAGGACAGTGCTGTCTCTGGGGGTAAGGGAATTTTTGGGCAGATAGACGTGTTCCAGACGGTGAATGGGGTGGAAGCTACAAAGTTGTAGACGTTTATTGAGACTTATCAAACTGTACACCTAAGACGTGTGCATTTCACCTTATGTGAATTATACCTTAGTGAAGAAACCAAACCAAAATCCAGATCCCTCAACCCCTAATGTAGGGGTCAGTTCAGACACAGGCATCCATGGGTAGAGGAAGCTGTTAGGTGAAAGGCTGGTGGGAATCTGAACCCACTGAGCATGACATGGTCATCATCAAGGCAGCTGGATGTATGGGCTGCTTGTGAGAGGTGGTGGGAAGGATTCTTTTTTTTTTTTTTTTTTTAGAGTTTAGAAGTGTAAGGGCTTTAGATATCCTACTCCACCCTCCAATTTTATTTTATTTTATTTTATTTTATTTATTTTTATTTTTTTATAAATTTATTTTTTATTGGTGTTCAATTTGCCAACACATAGAATTACACCCAGTGCTCATCCCGTCAAGTGCCCCCCTCAGTGCCTGTCACCCAGTCACCCCCACCCCCCCGCCCACCTCCCTTTCTACCACCCCTAGTTCGTTTCCCAGAGTTAGGAGTCTTTCATGTTCTGTCTCCCTTTCTGATATTTCCCACTCATTTTTTCTCCTTTCCCCTTTATTCCCTTTCACTATTTTTTATATGGTGGGAAGGATTCTTGCAGACAAAATAGAATGTCAAGCATGTAGGGTGATGTCCAATTAAAGGAAATATGAGGACCTGAGAAACAGTTTCAATAAATGACAATAACCAGGAAGCAAACAGACACACCAGAACAGGGGACATTCTACAGAATAGGTAACACTATTCCTCAGTAAGTCAGAAAATGAAAGGATGTTGGGGAGGGGCTCTGCTAGATTTAAAGATAGTGAAGACCATCTGATTTCATTTGAATTCTGATTAGAATGAACCTTCTGTAGGAAGACGTTTCTGAGATACTTGGGAAATTTCCTTGTGGCCCTGCGGGGAGACATCCCTATTTTTAAAAAATGCATATTGAGGGATAAAACAATGAAATGACACCCCTGAATTTTACTTTAAAATATTCTGGCAAAATATGGAAGCAACCCAACTGTGCGTTGATAGATAAATGGATAAGAATAAGGACACCTAGTGGGTATTATGCTAAACAAAATCAGTCAGTAGAGAAAGATAAATGTCATATGATCTCACTCACAAGAGGCAAACCAAGAAACAGGCTCTTCACTATGAAGAACAAACTGATGATTATGAGCGGAGGTGGGGGGGGGATGAGTGTAACAGGTGGTGGGGATTAAGGAAGACACCTATCAGGATGAGCACCCGGTGATGTGGGAAATGTTGCATCTCTATATTGTACACCTGAGACTTACATAACACTGGATGTTAACTATACTAGAATTAAAAATTTTAATTTTAAAAATTAAAATAAAAATTATGGCAAGACAAGAAAAGAAAAAAAGCAAAAGGATACATGCAACAAATGTGGGCAAATCCTCTCTACTGTCCAGTCTAGTGATGGGCATCTGAGTTCACTTCTTCTTAGTCTCTGTTTCTGGGCAGGTTTGGACTGTCAATGTTCAACGAAAGAGGAAAAGGGGGTGGGGGCTTGAGGGGTGGGAGCTCAGCCTGGGAGATGCAAGTCAGGAACACACTCACATCTGCACCCCTCTGTAGGAGGATTAGACTGGCCTGCAAGCCTGGGGGCAGTGGGGAGAGCCAAGAGGTGGAACAGCAGTGCAGGGGCACAGAGGAAGCAATACAAGCAGCTAGCTGCCCACCCTTCTTCCTCTTAACAGGTGGCAGCCCTGTGCCTTATTGCCTTATGCTTCTCAGCCTCTCTTACAGATGCTGATGGCCACACGACACATTTCTAGACAATGGAATGTAGGCAGAAATTGTCAGGCAGGGCCTCTGGGAAGGCTCTTTTTCCAGGGATGGCTGAGTTGGGTGATGGGTGGGCAGTTTTGCTCTTCCCTTCACCCCTTCTCCCTGTCTGAAATCAGATGTGATGGCTGGAGCTGCAGCAGCCATTTTGTGATCACATGATCACTTTGCAGTTGAGAACCCTAAAGCTAAAATTGGCGGAGCAGAAAGACTTGGGAGCAGACCTGGTCATCTGATTTCTTAGAACTGCTTTTCGTAGAGCCTCATGGAGCTTTGGACTGCCTCCTGTATTTCCCATTACTAGAGGAAAAATGAATCCTACTTTGTTTATGTACTATTATTTCAGGTCTCAGTAACCCAACTCTTTTTTTTTTTTTTTTGTCAGTAACCCAATTCTTAATGCAAATGGAAGCATTTCCTTTTGCCACTGGCCCTGGAGACTATGTTGACCAGGGGAGATGTTTGACTCCCACCAACTTAGACTTCAGCTCCCAGCTTGAGGGCTATGTTTACCTTTTTTCCCATGTTTCTCCTTTTTTTCTTCTTCATTGATTGAAGAACTGTTTTCTGTGGACTCTAGGCTGTTATCTGAGGAGAGAGAAAAGTGAAGCTGTGAGCATAGCATGAGGCTGGGAAGAGGCCCTGGCACCAGCATCCTTGCCTGCCTGTTGAGTGGCCCTGGCAAGTCACTCAGCTTCTCTGAGCTTGTTTACAAATCTAAGACCATCATGCTGACTTTGCTGGCAAGTTGTGATAACTGTGCAAGAAAAGGGCCCACCTGTACATGTGCCTGGCACACAGGACATATTTTGTGCCTTCCCTTTTGCATGCTTCCATTTGCTCCTTAAGAAGAGTGCAGGAAGGGCACCTGGGTGGCTCAGTGGGTTAAGCGTCTACCTTCAGCTCAGGTCATAATCTTGGGGTCCTGGGATGGGGCCCCACATCAGGCTCCCAGCTCAGGGAGCCTGCTTCTCCCTCTCTCTCTGCCCCTCCTCCCAGCTTGTGGTCTCTCTTGCTCTGCTCTCTCTCAAATAAGTAAATAAAATCTTAAGAAAAAAAAAAAAAAAAAGAACGCAAGTCTGTCTTACAGGGAGGTCACAGACCCAAGCCCTCTGCCTTGTGGTGCTGCCCATACTTTTGCTGTGAGCCTCCCAGGGCTTCCCTCAAGACTGCAACAGAAGATCCAGAGAAACACCCATTTCCTTGTCCTTCAACTGATACCCACACAGAAGGAAGCATTTGGCCTGATACTTCCTCCTACCCTAACCCAGAAATTACTGTAACTTGGAAATTACAGTCTATGCAGCTGTGGAGGGTGGGGGCTGCTGGAGAGCCTGGGATGTGCTCTGGTGGGGAGTTCAAGAAGCCGGTCCATTTGGACCAGCTTGGAGGAGGAGGCCTGGGGTGATGAAGGCTAGGCAGGGCTTGAAAGGTGGGGGGTAGGATGCTTAAGGGTGGCCCCTGAGCAACTGGGTGACCAGGTGTGGGGAGAGTGAGGAGGGGAGCTGTCCCATGGCGGGCAGGGAAGGTCAAGGGCCTAGGCTGGAAACTCAGGTGCCTGCAGATCAAGCTGCATATGTAATGGAAGGAGAGGGGAGGCGGTAGGGAGAGGGGAGGCCTGCGGAGCGTTCAGGAGCACAGGCTGCTTGCTCAGTCAGTATTTTCCATTTTAGTGACTCTGTGGTTCAATTTCCAGGTAGCAACATTTAACTAACCACATCATAAAGATCAGAAAATACCATAGATATTTAAATAGACCCAAACCTAAACCAAACCCAAATTCTAATAAAATTCAGCCTTTAAAAAAAAAGATTTTATTTATTCATGAGAGACACACAGAGAGAGAGGCAGAGACACAGGCAGAGGGAGAAGAAGGCTCCATGCAGGGCGCCCCATGCAGGGCTCCATCCCAGGACCCCAGGATCACGCCCTGAGCCGAAGGCAGACACTCAACCACTGAGCCTCCCGGGCGTCCCCAGCTTTTTTCTTTTTTTTTTTTTTTTAAAGATTTATTTATTTATTCATTCAGAGAGAGCAAGAGAGAGAGGCAGAGACACAGGCAGAGGGAGAAGCAGGCTCCACGCAAAGAGCCCGACGTGGGACTCGATCCAGGGTCTCCAGGATCAGGCCCTGGGCTGCAGGCGGCGCTAAACCGCTGCGCCACCGGGGCTGCCCCATTCCCAGCTTTTTTCTTAATTGAAAAAGCAAAGCACATATACAGCAGAGATTTTTAATGATGTTGTTTAATGTGTTATGATGAACTCTGATATGACATGTTGATAGGATGAGCAGTCCTCACCTGAAGCCCTCACTACCAAATGGATCTTTATTCACCTGCCTGGAGGGGTTATGCATGCACATTCTCAGATGTCCCTTTGCTTTTTCACTGAAAAACACATCTGCTTTCACGCTATAATATGGACAAACATCCAGGACATGGTGCTCAGGGAAATCAGCCAGTCACAAAAGGACAACTTCTTTTTTAAAAAAAATTTTTAATTTTTTTAATTTTTATAAATTTAGTTTTTATTGGTGTTCCATTTGCCAACATATAGAACAACACCCAGTGCTCATCCCGTCAGGTGTCCCCCTCAGTGCCCGTCACTCATTCACCCCCACCCCCCGCCCTCCTCCCCCTCCACCACCCCTAGTTCATTTCCCAGAGTTAGGAGTCTTTATGTTCTGTCTCCCTTTCTGATATTTCCCACACATTTCCTCTCCCTTCCCTTATATTCCCCTTCACTATTATTCATATTCCCCAAATGAGTGAGAACATACACTGTTTGTCCTTCTCCGATTGACTTACTTCACTCAGCATAATACCCTCCAGTTCCATCCACGTTGAAGCAAATGGTGGGTATTTGTCGTTTCTAATGGCTGAGGAATATTCCATGGTATACATAGACCACATCTTCTTTACAAAAGGACAACTTCTATGAGGCCCTGGGGTCCGTAAATTCCTACCCACAGAAGGTAGGATGGTGGGCACCAGGCACTGGGGAAGGGGATGGGGAGTATTTAATGGAGACAGAGTTTCACTTTTATGAGGTGAAAAAGTTCTGGAGATGGACGGTGGGGACAGTGGCACACCAAGGTGAATGTACTTCCCACACCACTGAGCTGTATATTTGAAGATGCTCAAAAGAGTACATTTTGTTATGTATATATAGGTGACCACAATTTTTTAAAAGTTTTTTTTTTTTAAAAAAGACCTATCTGCCTATATACAAGTGTCGCTGCTCCTTAGCCAGGTTCCCCTGGTGGGTCCTGAGGCTATTTCCAGCCCAATGCGATTTCCAATGTCTATCACTGCATTGAGTTGCACTGTTTCCCACACACCTGGAATTTTGTCAGTCTGATAGGTGATAAATGCATCTCAGTTTTAATTTGCACGTCTTAATCCCGGAAACTATTATGGCTTTGCAGACGTTAATTATCCCCTCACTTCAATCTGTCAGTATCCCGGGAACATTTTTCTCTGCCTGGCATGTCCTAGTTCTTAAATGATCTGGAGAACCTTTATTAGAGGACGCTAGCTCATTTGTCAGAGCTGCGGAAGATATATTTGCTCCAGCTCAGATGACAGCTCCCTTCGGATTGTCTGTCATGTATTTTCCTTACAGGACATCCTCATCTTTGCTTTAGTGAAATGCTTTGGAGTAGTGTCTTGCTTAGAAAGGAATTCTGCGTATGAAGGTTAAATACATTTAAAAAATTCCTGTTTCTTAAAAAAAAAATCTCCTGTTTCTTTCTTGCAAATTTTAAATTAAAAAGTCTTAAAAATGTAAGCCTCCTTGTAGAAAAATTCTCTGGGAGAAACAGGGGGAGGTGAGCTGGGTGCAGTGTCCTCATAAAAAGTGATAAAATTTTAGCACCCCATCCCCCCAGCCATGGGAGCCGAGGTGTAGGCTCAGGGCACACAAAGATCCTCCTGCCCGCTGCTTCCTGCGGCTCCAGGGAAGCCACCTGCTGACCTGCTCCCACTGCAGCAGCCCGGGGAGCCACTTCTCTGCTCTCCACCTGCGTGAGAGAGGGATGGGCCCCACCGTGGGCCCCCAGTTTCCACCATCTCAGCCTTCACTCTGGGACTTACGGGCACCTCCCCTGCACCCTGGCAAGCCTGTCCTCCCCGCTGCCCACAGGAGAGGGCTGGCGCTTAGACAAGGGTGGGAGCAGGGGCGGGAGGAAGGGTGGGTGCAGTGCTTTTCCGGAGAGCCCAGGGGCTAGGTGCCTGATGGGATGTGAGCTCTGGGAGAAGGGAGCATGGGGAGAAGCCCACCTGTTAGGTATGAACACCCGGGTACCAGTGCCGTCTGCTGAGGTGCCAGAGAAGGGAGGCAGGGGCTTGGGTGGAGCAAGAGGCCTGGGTTCAGGGGCCCGTGGGACACGCCAAACGGGGCCTCTGAAGAGGCCACTGTGGATGAAGGCCTGGGAATTGGCAGAGTGAGGACGGAAATGTGTCCCCAGCCAGCAGATGGAACGGGCCCTGTTGATGGAGACGGAGGGTGGCCAGGGCAGCCCGAGGAAGCCGCTGGCAGCGCAGCCTGGCCCGGGCCGCCCTCACGGGCTGCCTGGGGACGAAGGTGCACGGTGCTCAGGAGGGGCCAGGCCGTGGGCAAGGGCCACCCTGGGACCCACAGGACACAGAGGCTCCCCAGGAGGACTTATCCGAGGGGAAGCAAGGAGGCCAACTGGCGCTCTTAACAGCAGGAGCCCTGGGCATACCCTGTCTGAGGAGGCCGAGGAGAGATGTGGCCCCGAACCCTGAGCCGAAATTAAGAGTCGACTCCACTGGACTGAGCCCCGCAGGTGCCCCCGGGGCAGGACATCTTCAAACACGATTCACAAGCCCGACCTGTGTTTACAGTGTAGTGGCGCCCTTGCCAGAAATGGCCCCAGGGTCCTTGGGCTCCGGAACTCAGCCATCAGCACTGCCCCCAGCCCTGGATCCCGCTTGGTCGGTGCGGCCAACTGTGAAGTGACAGCATGTTACTTCGGAGGTGAGGTCACAGAAGACGTCTGGGCTCACCCTGCCTCTCAGGGAACACCTGCTCTGGGCGAGCTCAGCCCTGGCCAAGGCCAAGGGCCATCCGAGCGAGCCTGCCCAGAGCAGATCCCCCAGACGGCTGCAGAGGAGACGCCCTGGGCCAGGATCCCCAAGCCAAGCCCCCATGAGCTCCCGACCCGCAGACACGGAGCTGATGCGTGTTTACTGTTTTAAGCTGCTGAGTTTGGGGGTAATTTGTTACACAGCAGGAGAGATCCAGCACACCCTTCAGTGGCCTCCCAGGGCCTGTAGGTCCAGGAGCCCCATCCACGTGGCCTGGGAGACCCTTCAAGATCCCACACAGAGGCCTCTGCAGCTTCTCGTCTTGCTACCACCCTCACCCTCCCTCGTTACCCTCCAGGTAGCCTCTCACGGATCCTCCCACAGGCAACGCCCTGTGCTGTTGCCTTGTTTTTTTTCACCCCAGCCCCCTCAGCCAACATCTCCCTTGTCTGTTGTTTACCCCAGAAGGCCTCCTGGATCCCTCATCCAGGACAGAGGAGCCCACCTCGCTCTCCCAGGGATGGCCCTTCCCTCTCTG